AAGCAGTTAAGATATGGGCCCAGCTGCGTCTTAGGAGTAACGTTGCTAAAAGTTCGCAAACTATGGTCAACGGCAAATTTTTACCTCGTTGATGATGCTGTAACGACGTCTTAACGTATCCACTTTTCAATTTTCCTCCTAAGTAGAAAATTTATCATTGTCATACCAACTGTAAGCTAACGTGTGATTCGATATTATAGAGCAAAGGGTTAATTGAGGAACTAATTTACCAAATGTTAAGTAAATCCTTGGAGTAAAGCCCCAATTTTAATATAATTTTATATTTTAATTGAGCACTCGTCATTCCCAATTGAAAGGTAAAAATTTTAATAAATCTCATACAAAACAATGAAAATAGAAGATACTTAACACAACATCGATCTAACCAATAGACTTCAACGTCACATTTCCTTGATTACGACGACAGCTTGAGAAACCTCGAGTCCAAGAACTTTCTCTCCCTCCTGTCGTACATCGTTGAAAGAAAAAGGAAAAGTACAAGAAGAACGTCTAAAAGGGAAGAGGGAACCATAGTATTGCAGGGGACAAAGAGAACTAGAAAGAAAGACGTGGGTGTTGTATCGGTAGCGAACATCGCTGGTAAACGAACGACTCGTGGTGGTGCACTTTGTTCAGCCGAGGGGTTACGGAAGAACAGGCCAACAGGGTGGGTTATGTATTGGCACGTGTACGTAATTGTAGCTATTTGTCGGGAAAGCGAGAGACTGGTGAACGGTAGGAGGGTGGCGAGTCCGGGAAAAGTTGATGTACAGAGGGATAAAAGAGGGATGGAGCGAGGGGGAGAATTCGAAGGATGGCGAGGGTGTCTCGTGCTATAGTCGCGGATGAACGCGCAATGCATCACGGGATTGCGTAGACGACGTATATCTCCGGGTAATAGCACGTGGATACGGGTTACAGAGATCCCATGACTGTTCGTAACTACCAAAATCCTCTCTTCTTCCTATTATCTCCACCGATCTTGACCTTTCTTCTATCTGATATCTTCTTTCGCACCCTTGTGAAGGACCACCTACGTTTAACCCCTTAAACGGCTACGTCGTACGTATACGCCATGATCAAAGTTCATGGATATATTTGGCAGGGTAAAATAATTGTTAATAATTTGGAAATATTATATTCTAAAACTTCTACAATCTTTTCAATTTTTTTTTAACGATGGTATTTACAATTTTCTTTTTATCTTTACTTTAGAATTATTATAAAATAAAAAACATTATTTCTTATTCAAATTCTTTAACTTACTAATCCAAATTTTAATGGTTTTTAAAAATATCTTGTCTACCTTCACATTTTTAATTACCTTATCAACTAATAACCCTAACACCAGTCAAAACATTAATCAACTTACAATCTATTTTACACCAAGTCAAAACACTAAGCAATAAATCATACCAAACAATCCCGTTCATTTTTCACGAAATATAAATTTAATATTTCCTGTATTATGAAACAGGCTATTCATTCCGGTAGCATATCTTTTTCATGCACGCTTAAGAATGGCGTTTATGCGAGCCGTTAAACAGATTAGTTTATTTCGACCTGAAAAAAATGTTCTAGATATGAAGCTGTTCCAGCTTACAAAGAGTCATACAGTTCTTATAGGAGGATCATTAATAAAGCTGCTTATCCGAACGTGAATATAAAAAGGGGGTTACGGATGCAAATTAGCGTTTTTTAACCAGCCCCGTGAATGCATAAATGATGGGAAGTATATAATAGGAAACAGGAAATGCCAGATTACATATGATCACTTATACTTCGCTTTTATAACATTTCCCCGTTCGACCGTTATCCTAGATGGTTAACACGGATCAATCGAAGTTTTACGGCTTTTTCTTGCACGGTTATTTTCATCCAAGTCTCCCATGTGGCTACGACAACTGCAACGTCCACTTGTTTTATCGCTCCCGCAGGCTCGTGACGAAATTTCTCTACCGTTCGCGACACATCCATGGAGACTTCGATGGAGATTCCTTTTCATCTCTGGATTCCTTACATCCCTGCTTTCTTTATATCCTTGCGACCTATGCATCTCTGCATCCATTGCAGCAATCTTGCAAAATTTTGCAAAAATTTTAGTAATTTGGTCAGAAATTTTGTTTAAATGCTGCTTCCTCATGCTCGAGTTTCTCCCACAAAATGTCTCCTTTTTCCTTCTTTAAATCGCCTTCGTTCGATTTATTTATTTTACCGAGCCACCTTGGGAATCGAATGGAAGTTAGACGCGCCGACGAATAATTTGAGATTCATCGAGATGCAACGGGTCGAGTCACTTGTAATTCGTTTCCGGCGCCACCCCGACCCACCCTCGATCCGTGCTGCCCTTTTTTTGTTTGGCCATTTGTTCGAAATAGCCAGGCGCGAAAAGATGGCTGTAGAATTTTAAAGGAATTGTCTCGATAGAAAGGGTGGAACGGGGTTGGAGAAAGGACGAGAATAAGGACATCTCTCTGTTGAAGTTAACTTCGCATTTAACATCTCCTCCGGGGGTTAAAATTTCCCCTGGAAGTTTATCCTAACTTGCGCAACGGGGTACATCTTCCACCCTGCCACGAGGAAAGAAAAATCACAGAGGGTTTTTGAATCGTTGAACAAAGGAGAGCTCTTGCGTCGTTTTGTTGATGAACGTTTTGCATTGAAATAGAAGCGGACAGGAAGGGGAACGTTTAATGGAGATGGATGAATGTGAGTCAAGTTTGAGGCTTGATAGAATTCTTTGAAGGATGCACGAATTATTAATGAATGGATATCAGAAAATGCAAATTTCGAGGGAATGTGAAAATTCTTGGAGGAAAGTGAGATAGGGTAAATGGAGGATTTTATGCTTTGAAATTTGAAGAATGAGGAGTATGGATAAAATATTTTTCGAGAGGAAATTGTTAAATTTGGAATATTTTCACTTCATATACATTCAAATAATTATTAAGAAAATTATACTATTAACAAATTCGGGTCGGGATTAGGTTGGGATCGGGTCGAAAATTGCTCTTAGGTTTGAGTTGGACCCCAAACGAATTATGTTGTCAAATGATAATGAGAGTAAACATTATTCTTCCTACCCGAGGTTCCCAAGAGAACGAAATAAAGGAATTAATTTAGACGAAAGAGAGATGAGCAAAGTAAGCCTTGGAGATTAATGGCTCGATTGGATGGCAATATTGGCGTAACAGCAATTTGCGCGGGAAATATCGTTTGACGTTTCTGTTAAAGGATCGATGACGATCGGACGATGGGTAGCCGCGCGTAAATCTTGTCGCGCTACAATCACTGGCCGGATCAGCGAGTCGGATAAAAGTAATTCCCGATAAAAGCGATTTCCCCAGTCGTGTGCGCGGAATGAATAATAAACGCAGCTGGAACGCGCATATCGTCGGCCAATTATTTGAATCGCGAACAATTTCGTCGGGACTTGTTGATTTAACGAACGAGAACCGTTGCGTCGGGCAGATAGGTTCGGCTACGAAGCTGAATCAATTCTTCATCTCGATACCTGTTGTTTCATCGAACGATATCTCGTTCGATCGAGCGATTCTACTGTGTCATGGATCGATAAGATCATTTAGCTAACTGAAAACGCAATGATAAGGGGATATTTTTGACGTCCTATTTCAGTGGAACATCATTTTGATAGGATCTTTTTAATTATCTTCGGAACATGGTTTTAATTTTAGTTCAATTACCTGAGGAATTGATCTCCTCCTATAATAATTAATTTAAAAATATCTAACTACAGAAATAATAAGGGATTAATTAGAACAAAATTGATAAATTTTATTTTTTTTGTAAACCCTATTTGATTGGTGATACCATCTATCACTTTCTTTAGGGTGATACCAACTTTGATTGGCTATACCCCTGAGGGTAAGGGCTTAAGGTTAAGATCGGTCAGCTCTTGAGCCCTGATACGACCACCGGGACCGTAAAGCCTAGATCTGCTCCTTTTGTTTGTCATTTTCAAAAGAAAGTAGTGAACTAAATCAATTTTAATGAAAGAATTCTTTTTTTCAAATAATAAATTGCGAACCTTTTCTAAAAATTAAATTTTCAAATGTTTAGTAACAATTTTTAGTTTCTTTTTATTTTATTCTTGATTTTTACAAATACGATAAACATTATCTTTTTAACTAAACAATTATCTCCAAGAATTTTACGTTTACTTTAACACGAAGTGTGGAATCAGCTTGACGAAGACGACGTCTCCAACTGGGAAGCGTGATAAAAAAAGAATCGCGCGATAATCAGGAGAATTGTAGGCGATTCAACTATACGTTCGATTGAATAGGGTCGTTTTATCGCGACCAGCCGCGTAAGGGCGCAGTGATTTTTCGACTCGGCTTTCGCTCGACGAGAACCCCGAGAATATTGAAATCATAACGTAGCCGACCATGAATATTATTCAGGTCTTAAGGCGATATAATCCAAAATCGATGGAGCCACGTGGAATAAATTTGGCACCCTGCTGTTCGCACTAAGCGCCGTGCAGGAGGTCGAGGTGGGTGCTAACAGTTACGAAAAGTGGTTTAGTTTTTAACGACGAAAATATCCTTTTCCCCTTTCATTTTTTCCCTGCTATTATTTATTCAGAAATAAACGAAGAATAATAATATTTAACATATAAAGCGTATAATTTCGAGCAAATCCGTTAACCAGCTTCCACAACAATTTCTGACCCGAATTCGAGTTAGTACCAGATAATTCCTCTTTACGTGCCGCGCCTACGGTTTAATTAATTCCCGTATTGTTCCGTTGTAATCCAGAAATTTGACCCTCGCTTTATTTGCATCGATAGTATGTCGTTATGATAATATTTGTGGAAAGGTATCGTTGTTTTATCAGACTTTATGCAACAGGCCAATTTAGCAGATTACTTCATAGAAATATTTAGAGTATTGGGTACCCGACACCAAAGCACAAATATTTTTGTAGTAACGTCAGAAAATTCTTATTCTAACCACGAAATTTTATTTCTGTTTCAGATCTGCCAATTACGCGAATTCAACGAAACAATGCGAACTTTCGGACATGGACCGCTTAACTGTTGCCGGATCCAACGCTTTCCAAATAGCTAAAGGCTTCGATTATTTAGAGAATCATTGCGTGGACGAACCAGTGAAGCTCTGCGAATTCAAAAAATTGAACGGCCGTATCTTGAAGACAGTGGATTCCGTGTACCAGGACGTTGGTAGCGCCGAAGAATGCAGAGAACTCTGCTTGAACTCCCCGTTCCGTTGTCATTCTTACGACTACGGTGACACCGGCGACATGGTCTGCCGTCTCAGCCATCATTCCAGAGCCACTCTCTCCGATATTCAGGTGAGAAAGCAACAAATTCCTTCTTTCGAATAGCTACTTGACAAGCTTTACCTTTACAACATTCGTGGAAATTACATAGCATAAGTGGTAACAATATTTCTGCTTTGTACACTTCAAAATTATCTGAACATCTATGTATATATTTGCATAATTAGTTTGATAATAATTTTAGTGAAATTTTTAATTTTATACAAATTTATGAATTAGAATATGAAATATTTTGCAAAAACAAAGAAGCAACGTTTACATCGTTAATTATTCAACAAGAAACGTTCTGAAAGTTGCCTCTAGAAACACCAGAAAATAAAAAACTTTGCAACGTGAGATTTCACCGGTGGAAGTTACTTTAATTCATTCAGGGAGCGAAGTAAAACAATTCGACGTCAATTTCGAGTACGGAGCTCGGTTGGAAATCGTAGACCACACAGTTCACCAGCCCACGTAGCACGTTGAAAGGGTCGACGTGGGTTTTCTGTAAACGCGATTACATCGCACACGCGTGAACCAGCTCGAACAATTCGCCGAGAGCGCATTCGTGGAAAATCGAGTTTCCATCGCAGATGCTTACCCTATCGAGGCTGCGGATGGCTCTTCAGCTTGCGCATACGGGAGAACCTCCATGGCCCGAGGAAGTTAAGACAAAGACTTTTCTTCTCGCCAACCTGTTGAAGAATCAGTTCACTCTATTTCCGTTGGCGTTTGACGTCGAACCGAATCACTGCTGCTTTTTTATACATCCAACCTCATCGCGATTCTTTTCCATTTTCCTTCTGACCTGTCAGAGATTCTTCCAAAAACCCGAATAGTCGAAAAAAAAATTTATATTCTTCCTTTATAATTTCTAATCTTGAATTAGAATTTCTGAATAACGACAAATGTTTCATAAATTCCAGTTATTTTTAGTAACTATACTTTCCAGTAGGATCATTTATAATTGAAGGAGTATATAAATACTATTTCCTTATAATGGTTAATCAAGATGGAGATTTGTAAGTACTTATACTGTCTTTCCAATAATTATACAAGCCGTGTAATAGGCTATTAATTCGGGTAAAGGGAAGTCATCGAAAGCAGTTAATACGATATTTCCGATAATGAGCGAGCTGTTCTGGTTTGATGCATCTCGCGATTCATTAACGGATAACGCGATAAACAAGACTCCTGGGTTCGTGGTAATTTGCCTTGCGAGTAGTAAATGGTGGTAATACATATAGAGGATGTTTATGGGCATATGCGAGTGGTTGGTAGTCATTAGTAGTCGTAAAAAAGTCGATTGATTATACTATCCTAAGGGCCATCCAATAATAGTCGATCAACAAAATTTATATTTGAAAATAAATAATAGAGTTTCTTGAAATGTGATCATTCTCTGATCCCTCTGCTATAAAATTCAGAAGCTCCTGAAGTTAAATGTGAGAAAAAATTATGAATTTAATTGCTGAACTAATATTATAAATTAATCCTTTTATATTCTCAAGATTGTATTCTCGGAATTCCTAATTTAAACACGGTCTCTTCAATTCCTTCATAAAAACATGTTCTTCACGCTCACACTAAATTAGCTAATTACCAACACACAAAAGCACCCTACCTCCTACACGTATATTTTTTAGTTTCACCGCTCTAATGAGTTCCACTGCTTCTGAGTTCTTGCTCCCCCTCGAAAAATGTTCGCAAAGCGTGTATTATCACGTTACGTGCTGCGTGAAATTTAAGGTTTATGACCAACGTTTTAAAGCACAGTTAAAAGTCATGGTGCGATGCTTAACCCTTGTGTCAATAACCGAGGGACAATAACCGGCTGCTCATCTTCGCATTGACGTTAAGATTTCTTGCAATTGCAACTTTTTATTTAAAAAATAATATTTAAACAGCAGAAAAATCACTTGAGATATTCAAATATTCTCATCAGTATAAGTGCATACAGAATTCCTGGTCTAGATTTCTAACCCTTCGATAGAATTCCATTCGGTAAATTGTAAAATACTTAAAAATGGTCCCTTAATTTATTCCTGAAGGGACAAATATTTAGTGCAATTAGAAAAGAAAATAAAGAATATATTAGAAGGATATTTAGGTGTTTCAGCTAACGAATTTACACTGACTCTGTTGTCAAACGTCTAATTAATATTAAGTGGTTACAAAGAACAAAGACAATAAAATAGGCAATTGTTGGTTGACTTCAGGAACCTTATCTCGATGTGCCGGAGGGATCAACGTACGAGCTGAGCTCCTGCTACAACGTCACCATCGACTGCCGTGCCGGCGACATGGTGACGCGAATCCAGACCAGCAAACTGTTCTACGGCAAGGTGTACGTGAAGGGATCTCCTAACTCGTGCGTGCAGGACGTGAAAGGTGCCTTGGAATTCGAGCTTCGGATGGCCTACGACGATCTGGAATGCAACATCAGACAGCAAGGACTTGGACGGTATCTGAACGACGTCGTGATTCAGCATCACGACACGATCGTCACAAGTTCCGACCTTGGCCTCGCCGTCACCTGCCAGTACGACCTGACCAACAAAACGGTGTCGAACGAGGTCGACCTCGGTGTACACGGTGACATAACCCCGGCCTTATCCGAGGAGGTAATCGTCGATTCCCCCAACGTAGCCATGAAGATCACCGACCGCAGTGGAAACGAAGCGATACCAACCGCCGAAGTCGGTGATCCTCTCGCGTTGAAGTTCGAGATCCTCGACCCGAACAGCCCGTACGAGATCTTTGTACGCGAACTGGTGGCCATGGACGGCGTCGACTCCAGCGAGATAGTCTTAATTGACTCGGACGGTTGCCCCACCGATCACGTTATCATGGGTCCGCTCTACAAGTCGGCTACCACCGGCAAGGTAAGTGTTCCACTCGAATGCTTTATCATCTATCGTTGTACCGTTGCGAGGATACGTTGAATCCTCGGTCGCGCTAAATTCTCGGTAGCGAGGTTTCAAGCTCGCGAGATCCCGACCGGACACGTACGGAACTACTTTTCTTCTTCTTATTTATTTTCCTTCTTTTTTTTCCTTCTTCTTCTTTCTTTCGCAAAGCGGAAACGTGTCTCATTAGCTCTCTTCCCTCCCCTAACATCGTCGCCTTTAATCGAACTGTCATCTTGCACGCTAAAGACGAACAGAGCTACGTGACCGTGCTCTACGCGACGCGACGCGACGGGGACAAACGCGGTTACACGGCGAACAGCTGTCACCGCAAGAACTATTATTACCCCGTGCCGGCACCGAGACGCCTTGTAATTCCCTGTACGCTTAGCATCGTCGAGCGTTAACGATAGGAAAAAGCAGGGCCAATGTGATCGAATGTAATTCGACCGAGTGGCGAAACGACACCGCTAATAGAGATGCCCCGATGCTGATAACGTCGATCCTTGATCGGGGTTACCGTTATGGGAACGTATGCGACGATTTTCTGCCTTCCGATCGGCCAGAGAGGGAGAAGGAAGAAGGCACAAGTCTCGGACAGACATCATGCTAATCAATCACTTGAACGGATTTTACGACGGGAAGCAATTTGCTCGCCCCGTAATAGGTCGCAGATGTACCGTCCTTTCTAAGACGTCGCGTGATGATGTAGACTCGCGTTTACTTCCACTCTTCAACGTTATTCCCCGCGTCTAATGTTTACTGCTGTTTGCCTGATTATTCGGTAAATAAATGATCTTACACTTTGACGGATATGGAGTACTACCGATGCTGGAACAATCTACTAGCGCAATTAAGCTTTTAGGTACAGCATCGAGTAAAGTAGACTTCCTTAGGGAAAATGGTGATATAGGGGGAGGTGGAAGTCTCGAATTTTAATTTTTGGGATGTTGATATTAAAAGTGATTTAGAAATTGGGAAAATGAAATTAAAATTAAGCCTTTCTTTATGGTCCGAGGGATAATCTCTGGCTTAAAAGAGAGCCAAGTAGGAAGTAATTTGAAGATAATCGATGAGGTATCAATTTCTAATATAAATTATGCAATCAGTATTAAATTGCTCCAGCCACGTATGAAACGGTACAAGGTAAACAGATGGTAGATAGAAGGGAAATACAACAAAAGGAAGCAAGAAAGTAGTCGATATGTTTCCGTGTAGTACCAAGACGTTGATCAATGATTATACCACGCCCACTATCGGAATGAATGACGTTATCGATGTAACAACGACTCAAACATCGATGCGTGCATGTTAAAGCGTCAAAATACAGCTGCATCATCGATGAGGCGCGATTGTACCAGGAGGATATGGAATCCTGTGTCGTGAAAGTAAATTGCTTTTGAATTTATTCGCTACCAATTTGAATTCTTTAGAACGTTCAATATCTTTATTTATCGCTAAATTAACGTCAACCAGACATGAATTTCGATTAAAGAAAATTGCTTATTTAATTTAGAAATTATAATAATTACAATGTTACACATTGCAAGAGGTCTCTAATAAATCCTTACGATGGCACGTTTCAATCATTAGATAACCAAAGCACGATTGTGACAACAGAAATTATTCTGTTATTAATGATCATCATTTCCGTATATTCCATGCGGGGAGGCACGTAATCACATAGCTTCAAGATTATGTTAATGGACGAAAATGCTATTTGCTCGCTAAAATTGGGTATGTTAAGTCAGGCTAAGTATCTTCAGTAAATTAGATACGCTTGTGTATCAGGTAAGCCAAGTTCGTATCAGCCGGTTGTGTAATTTACGTTGACTATATTAAGTAGATTAGATAGATTAAACATGCTATAGGTTCGAGATATATCGATTAGACTCGACTACGCCTGATTATGCGTTAACGCATTGAAATTATTTACTACTTCTTTTATAAATTTTCATACGAAAATTTTACGTGTCTTCACGTTTCAGTGGATCAGATTGGCAAGTTCGTTTTTCATAAAATTAAAATTGTGTCTCTCTCCGTGGTCCGCCGTTTTAGAGTTCACGTTTGCAGATACCAAATGGCAAATTTAAATTCTAAAGAAACTTCCGAGTACCATTAATATTAACTTGAAAAATTTAATGCGTTAAGAGGCAAGGCAAAGGGTTAACGCACCGTTGAATCATCACGGTCATTTTGCCTCTACTGAAAGTTCTAAGAAGAAGTGAAGCATTTTCCAAGTTGAACGTCCGCGTACCGCAAACGCGATTGATGTTTCATCCTAAGAGGAGTAAAACAAACGGATCGTTACGATAGTAGCAGCTAGAAACAAGATTCCCAGACGGGGCAAGAAGGGGATTGAGCAGCGAGGAGCATACCGCCTCGTTAACTCGTCGTTCCACATCATTTGCTCGCGCGGGTGGGGGCGCGTCATGGAGCAATATCGCTGTATTAGAAAGTAATAACAGTCTGCGAGGAAACAAAAAATGTAAGGAAAATTTATGCCCGTTAATCCAGGAAAGATGCACCGTAACGAGATATATCACCTGACCGGTGTGCCACCCTGACACCCCTCTTAGACCTTCCTAACACAATCTCCTCTCAATGATTCTACAGATCACGCGAGGCTAACCTCATTTCCTCCTTAGACTTGTCCAAGTAACGAGGCCTGGATCTACAGCTGCCATCCTCGTACACAGGAAATTACAATTCGTGGAACAAGAAGAAACGAGTTGATGCTACTACATCAGATGCCATATTCATGTTCGCGACTGTGTATTTACTTGTCATCCAGACGCACAGTGATAAAACGTTCTTCGAGATCGTTTGATACACGCCACAGTATCGGTGATCATTTATCTTTGACGTATACTACTGGTGAAAAGCTTTGACTACTGTTAAGTATATTATTACTTAGAAAGTGATGAGATTACAACCACTTAGGTATTACGTTGACAACGAAATTAAAATTAAATACATATAATTTCTTTTTAGTGGCACTGGTTTCTAGATCTCATAGTAAAAATTATTAATTATTTTGACAATATTGTAAAATTAGGTTTGAATATAATTGGTTGAATTACACTGGCTTCTAGACCCCATAGTATTTAAACCCAAGTGGTGGTCCGCTATACACCTATATATAGAGGGGAGGCTCCTCCTCTACAGCACCCTTCTTTTAAGGGCCGCCCAAGGGAAAGAACGGGAACCCGGAAGCCAGATTTAATCACGGGTGTACTGATAACACAGAAAAGCCAGAATTGGCTATGCCGGAAGTTCCAATATTTTTTCCAAATTCTTGCATTATTAATCGATGTATGTACCGCATTATTTCCATATGGTAATAATTGGTACCAGCATACATCGCTTCCCCGATGTAAACAGGAGTAACAATTTGCAATTCAAGCGTTCGTAAACAATCAGGCTCGTAACACGGTGATTACAGCGCTTTTTCATGAACACCGTTTGCCGCAAGAATCTGCGAAGTACCGTATGGTTATCATGATCGGCATTCAACTAGGATTTCCCATGACGGTAAACAGGCGTTTGATTTTTCACCATCTTACTCACTTGGCGATGTAACGTTAGACGTTAATAATTTCCGCTGTTTTTTCGCGTCGGATGATCTACGAAACGAAGGCAATTAATGCGTGGTACGAGGATAATTAAAGGAGTTTACAGGGGGGATAAGAGGAACTGGAACTTGAGAATCAAGACGCGAGAATTGAAAGGCAACGGCGATAAAAGTCAGACGGCCGGGTTAAAAGTGGAAGAGGCAGATGAATTATTTGGTGGGAAATGATATAATGGTAGGAAAGAATGCACAAAGGAAAAACATTCAGCGAAACCGAGCCAAGAGGTGCTCTTTGTGAGAAGCCACGAAATTGCCGGCGGTGAATTTCTCACTAACCAGAAGTCGGAATACCTTCTGTGTCGAATAAACCTGTTGAAGAAGAAAAACAAAACAAAAAAAGAAGATTCTACTTTTATGAAAATGGTCTTTTCCTGTTTTCCCTCCTCTTATTCTCGCGTATCTTCTTTGACAAAAAAAGTGTTCCACGAGGAGTCGACACTTGTTAATTACAAATATTTTTTAAAAGGAAATAAGAGAATGAAATTTAGGAAGAAACGATGCTCTGAAATTTAATCTGAAGTCTGAGAAAGCTCAAGAAAAAAGAAATATAATTATTTATTATTTGCTTTATATTTTCCATAGAAAATCTTAAATTATCGTAGTATTCGTGTGTTCGCATTGCTGTCGATCGAAGACCTATTTCATTTGCCAAAAATTTGATTATACCAGGGGGGTAATGGATGGCAAGAGAAAAAAAAAATGAGCATCGAGGAAGCATTCGAGCGGATCTGAGAGGGCTGGCAAAGGGATGCGTTCCGTCTAACCAGGAATTTGCCAAAAGTCGGCTTTTCCGGTATGTCTGTCACGTAGCCAAGCCGCGGAACGGAGCTCTTCCATTTCACAACCGGTTTGAATGAAATTGAAAACATTTCTCAACTACAAAGCTCACGCCTATGTACAGACATTGGGTGTACATGGTGTTTCGTGACATATGGGCCCTACTTTAAGGGTGGATTCAGGAATTACAAACAACTGCTCTCGGTTTACTGTCAGCTTTGTGTCCTACCAATTATTCACCTACTCCGACGAGAAATAGAGAACGAACAAACCTAGGAAGTCTGACATTCTTTCTTCGCATAAAACTGTCGTAAAATGGCACTTATGGTAAAAATTTGATCAAAATAACTACATGAATTTTTATGTATTTTTATAGAAAATAGCAGGTCATTAATTAAGAATTAACAGTGACTAATTTCGATAAGGTATTAATAGTGCTTAGGGGTGTGCGGGTAGCCGAGAATTCTAAGAATTTTAGACTTTCTGTTTTGAAATGTAAAACAAATTACACGTATACACATAAAATATTACATAAAATTACCTGAACAGCAGAGTAAACTTGTTTCTAAGAAAATCAAAACCGATAAAATCTTTCATCTCTGATTTACCTCTAATTAATCTCGCCGCAGCATGTATTTAAATACCTTTTTCTCCACTGTATACAACAGGGAATCACACTTCATTAATCTATGTCGCCACTTGATTTTCTAATTTACAACTACACTACATCATTCTCAGCGAGCGCACGCAATGAAATGTGTCCCAGGAATATTCGTGGAGATAAAGTGGCACGTGCACAACTTCGAAAGAATATGGATGCGTGCGTAAGGTATATAAGGATAGATCATTAATCCTATAGATATACTATACGCTACCATAGTAGCTTTTTCTTTTACGTTGCATCAAGACTCGCCAGGCAAGAATTTCTATACTTACTTCCTTTTGCTATTTTATTCCTGCTCCCTTCATTTAAATAATATTACTTTATATTGACGCGCGTACAGTGTAAATTAGAATGCTACCTGTATTAATAAAACACGTTAGTCGTGTCCTAATGTTTTTCTAATATTCTAATATTTTTCAAATGGTCTATTATTTCTAATATTCTAACATTTTTCAAATGGTCCATTATTTCTAATATTCTAATATTTCTAATGTTCTAATATATTTCTAACATTCTAATGCCTATTTCTAATGGTAAAATCTTTAAACAATTCCGTCGTGTAAACTTCTCAACCCGTCTTCCTTACAAGTTTCTCCTCGAGCATGTAGAGATATCTCAGTGTATCATCAGCGTGCAATAGTCGTTGGTCGCCATAGAGAACGTGTCACGTTCGTCGCCATCGTGTTCTCGTTGTAAGGGAAGGGTACATAAACGGTCGGGTACCAGATGCCGATGCTACACCGCTGCGTTTCTTTTCCCGCGTTTTATTAACCCCAGCTCCTCTAAGCCTTTCCGCCGGCCTCCGCTCGGCTGACGCGGAGTTAATAAAGTTCCGCTCGTTCCGCGGGACGCTCTCTCGCCAAAGAAACAGCTAAATGAAGCTGTACACGGAATGAAGCATATTTTAATGTCTTACTTCCCCCCCTCGATAGTGTACGTGCACGGCGTGTAAATACGATACGAAGTCTGTAACGTGGCGTAGAAACCAGTTCCGAGGGTGAATACGCGCGTGGCGGCGCTAAGACCGATCACGAGCAACGTATATCGCGTTGAAGGATAAAAAATATGAAGAAGAAAGGAAAAGATGGCTGACAGTGTTGAGCTGAATTGATTCTCTATCGAAGATGGAACGACAATAGCGGTCACGCGGACAGGAATCGTGTCCGGCTCGGTTGGATTGTCCGAATGAGGAGGGCAGAAAAAGAGGGAGGAGAAGTACGATCAATACTTGTCTTTGACAGGCTCCTCGTTCTCTTCGGGGTCGCCAGCTGAAGAAATCAGCGAAAATAGTGTGGCCAATTTATTGAAATGGGGTCCGGGACTACCTCGTGAAGGATCCTTCTAAGGACACCCATAAAAGAGCCTCCCTTCAAACCTTTTTCCTCATGTAATTCCATGTAATTGCTGTTATACGGTCTTACCTAATGAGCGGGGAAAAAAATTGGGCCGCAGCTGCGACGACAATGGCAAAAACCAGTTTCCCCGCGATCTTCTATTACGCGCGAGTTGCGTGCCATTAACGACGCCCGGCGTGTTGCGAGCATCTTCTTCTCGCTATACTATTCTGCATTTTGTCTCGTGTTTTGCGGGCATACCGGAAAACGGTGGCGGTAATTTAAAGGACGTTTTCAGATCGAGGGATCTGACCCCTCGAACGGCGGTGCTTAGATCAATCGGGATCTAAACTTACAGAATTTATAAAAAAGTATAAATGAAATTCCACCGTCTTCACGTGAAAAGTTATTTTCTCATGCTACATAAAATCCATGAAAATTGTAAAAAAGTACCTAGTCATAAAGTAATGTAACCAGAAAAGAAAGAACCAAAGGACCTGGTAGCGATAAGGCAGTTTCTATCAACGGTAAACTTCATTGGAATAAGGAAAAATGTTAAAATTGTTGCAATCCAGTAAGGTTGTTTGCCGCAGCTGTTGATGTATTATCATAATGATGGATAACGGCACAAAGTGATTTCTCACGTGACTTGCAAATCATCCAAGGAATGTGGATACCTATACTTATCTATTTCGATTCTCGAACTTTCACTATGCAATTGAATAATAACCGGGTCACCGTAATAAATAATATTCTTTTAGCTTAAACGCTGACACACGGTACAGACATTGACATTGACACATATGACGTACAAGTTTATATCTGAAACACTTCAAGATCGTGAAAGATTGAATCTATTCAGAATCTGAACTAGTTAAACGTTCAATGTAATTATAACTTCCCAGACGTCGTTAAATATTCAGACTTGTTCAATGAAATCTACATTAAATTTAGATTACACTGAAATTAGGTCTATTAAGATTAGACTTAATTAGGTTCTTTAATTGAATCGGAAAAGCTCAGACCTCATCTTCTCTAAACAAATGTGGAAACATTGAATTAACGAACATTTTCTTCTCGTTTCAGATCCTGCTGTCTCACTTCGACGCCTTCAAGTTCCCCAGCTCCGAGGTGGTGCAATTCCGCGCGCTGGTGACACCCTGCATGCCCACTTGCGAGCCGGTACAGTGTGATCAAGAAGAGTTAACCGGCGAGCTTAGATCCGTCATTTCCTACGGCAAACGTCGTCGTCGTCGTTCGACCGGAACCTCGTCCCAGAGCCGCGAGGATCTCCTTCTGGTGCAATCCATTCAGATCACGGACAAGTTCGGTTTCGAGCACGACAGCAAAGCGGCGAACGGCAGCTCGGCGAGCAAGGATACCGTTTTCGTCGAGAGCGAGGACATATCGTCGACGATGGGCATATGCATGAACCTGGGCGAGGCGATCGTAGCCGGCACCGTCTTCCTCGTCGCTCAGATCGCCATCATAGCCGCGTGGACCTTCACCTGGCAGAGACGTCGGCAGATGCTGAAGCATCAGGAAGCACTCTCGGTCTCGGTTTCCGTTCCCGGTATGCATTCCGTTCCGGGACGCACCGACAGCCTCTGTAAGTTGTACGACGCCGGATATTCAGGGCGCCGTTTTTGAGCAGCCTTCGTTTCCTCTCCCCGTCCCTCAATCTCGTCTTCCTTCGCTGTCGATGCCACGAATCTCCAGCCAACTTTCGTACGGATGGGTTTCTTCCATGGAAACAATATTTGGCTAAAGAACTTACTCGAGTTCTCATTTTTCCATAAAAATCTTCTTCAACTATTCGACGACAATGCTTGATCTAAATTAAATCCAATGATGTTGAGTAGGCTGGAGGTATTTCGTGAATAATTACTTTCCGACGACAGCCGACTGTTGCCTTGTTAATCGGGAACTGTGCAAATCCTTTCCGGAGCATTTGGTAGATCTACTTCGACGGACGGGCAGATAGGAGAAATTTGGAAACAAAATAATCCCAACAGCAACTGGCCGTCTGCTCGATGACACTTCGTGCTCTCTTTACTTTATAAGAATGATCGCTTGCATATCTTCCTTTCCTATGTCTTCCTATCCCTCCTAGGATGAACGATCGATCCTGCATCATCGGCTACCTCGGTTCAGTCTAACCTTGAGAATTCTCATACTTGAAAAAGCTAGCCTATCCAGGCCGCGATTCCAATTACCGGCTACCAACTAGAGAAGAAACAGCCCAGAACGATCGCCGATTTCTTCCCGAGATCAGTCGAGCGGCGGACGAGTACGTCCGTCCTGGCTCTTCTTCTTCTTCTTCTTCTCATCCGCTCGCGATGACAGCCTCTAATTAACGCGACACGCAGACCCGGTTAACGTGAAAATCCGCGTACGTATGAAATCTTGACCAGTCATCGGCTCCTTCCAAAGGGGAAACTTCTGCTTCGAAACTTCTCAATAGAAAATACGTCCAGTAACGATCGGTGAATAGCTCTTATAGAATCGGTTGTGGAAGCTGTGAAAAGCGAGTGACCGCGGGTAGAAATGATTAGGAGGTAGTGTAGCTGGAAGCAATTAGGCGATCAAAGAGGCAGGCTCGATCGATTATCTTTCAGCTTCGTCATCCTTCATTCATAATAGCGCATAATCTCCAACTTTTCTTATTTCTTCGCGGATACTTCCTCCTTCCCGCTCTATTTCTCCGAGCCTGTTTTTCCTGCCTGTTCGTACGCGAAACGAGACAGGATAAAGCGAAACAAGCGGAAGCGGGACGAGAGGCATGGCGTGGCGTGGCTTCGAAGGTGATGGAGGTCGACGCGTACTCCGTACATAGGATACGGCACCGGCGCGGATTCTAATTAGCATTGGGAATCGAGCATGATTATGCAGATGCTCCGAGTGGGATATCAACAGGAGGAACAGCCGGGGTGACCGAGGTGGATGGGTCAGGGGTGGTTTAAGATGGGACTGGGTGAGAGGGTAGTAGGAATAGGCAAAGGGAGAGAGAAGCAATGCGCGTAAAGGGGTTGGCGGAAGGTTAATTGCCTCTTGCGGTGTCTCGGGGTTAAGCTAAGCTTCGCGGGGGTTAGATGAGAATTCGGGAGCAAGTAGGGTCGGGAAAACGAGACGGCGCCGGATCGCTGGCTACCTATCTAGGACCACGTAAACGGCACCCCCTTCGGACTTAACCTTAGCTACGTTTCCATCGTCCAGCAGCCTGGTCAAGTTAATTTACATCGGGACACGTGATCCCATCAATCTGGACCAACGTGCTCCGAACCATAACACCGACACCTGATCAACGAGAAGCTTTCGTTAAGGAAAACTGCTTCTCTTAGGGGGAGTTTTTATGTGACAGTAAATCAGGACGTTCAAGGCCAGGCTATTCCATTATGGGCACCCAATATACTACACCAATTTCAATTTCGATGAGACCTCAATTTTATTAGAGCAACACTATAATTTTGAGTAATTTCCAGGGCTGCTGATAGTTGTTCCTAATATGTCCCTAATTATTTTGTTTTTATTAATTTTTTGTTTTACAATTTTGCAAATTTTATCTCTATTCAAGTTTCAAAAAATTTTCACCCTCGGATGGCGGACCATGGAGAGAGCCCTAATTTTAATTTAATTTCGTGTTTCATTTTCTAAATTTTAGAGTCACAAAAAATGTCAGTGTCACATGAAAACGTACCCTTATCCCTACGTTTCTATATAGGTCTACGTCGTTGTACGAAAGCAGAAAGTTCGATCCAAAACGTTTGTACAAGGAAATAACTTTATTACGAAAATTTTAGAGCCACCGTAGCTGTATTACCGGACGAACGTTTACGTTCAGAGAAGTTATCCCGGCCTGAAATATACCGGTTATCCCGGCAAGTTATAACGGAGAGTCGATCTTAACTTTGAAACATAGATCCAACGTGCAAACGTCGCCGCGGAACGCACACGGGGCACAGAGACAGTACATTCGAACGGGTTACATTTCGCGGAGGAATTGCTATTTAACATAACAAGTCTTACCGACGAACTTACCAAAAGCTGGCTGACTCAAAGTTCTCTACGAGGTACCGGTTTTACGTGGGCCAAAGCGAAACTGCGATCCGGAAACCGGAAGATATCCGGATCTGTGACGGGAATTTGTACTGGATGTTACAAAACGGGTGGTACAAATGGCAATTATTTAACTCTGGAGATTTGTGCAAAAATTTTGAGAAATTTGATAATTTTGAGTTTTAAAAATCTTAAAAATCCTAATAGCCATTAAAATAACAATTTTAATACTGAATTATTTAAATTACTTTTAGAATCACTAATCTAATTTATTTATAACAAAAATTTAATGTATTTGCACAATTATCATAGTTTTAACTATTCAAATTCTACCATCCTGTTTGGAAACATCCCTTACAGTCGGTGAACGGTAAAAGTAGAACGTTTGACGATAAATTTAAATCGGTTAACCAGGTTGTCTTGAGACTTCATTGATTTTCCCACTACAAAGGACCGGGATAGGATCGGATTGATTGAGAAACTTGAAAATTTGAATACGCTCGTCAAGACAAACGGCGAGAACAAAAGAGGGGAGATAAAGAAGGGAGGACCAACACGGTACGTTTGCATTTCAGTTAACCAAACTTTGGATCTGTTCGACATTTGTCTACCATCGACAAACATGTCACCGAATGTTTGAAGCGGGGATTCTAACCGCTTTCTAACCCGGTTAACCCTGGTTAGGATATGGAAACCCATACTCTTGATGGATTACAGAGTTAACCCTGTTCAGAAGAAGTTAACTGTGATAAATAATTTAACGAGTTAATCATTTTCATGCATTATCTAAATTTTTATATTTATCATAGAACGAAGCACTAAAGCTTGCTTTCATTTTTAATAGAAAATTTCAGATTTAATAAAAATAGAAACTTCTTATTTTTTCTCATTACCAAATCGATAGCTCTAGTTTCTACAACTTCAGAACTTTTTCAAATAACTCACTCAAAATTAATAACTTCAAAAAAGTTCCAATTCTGACTCAAGTTTCTTCAATTCCATCAATCATTTCAATTTCTTCCTGTTTCTCCATACAAATGTTTGTTTTTTCGAAACGTCAGTAGACGCAACACATTCGAAGTGCAACAACAATGAAACCTGACAGAACGGGTGGAAACAGTCGAGGGGGTTGAAAAATGTCAGCAGGACGCAGCGATATTGAACCAGCGGTGAAAGGACGCTCGCTTTAATTATCGGCACTAATTGCCATAGAAATTGCTAGGCTTTCTCTCGCGGTGTGCAATGGAAACGCAGGATTAAAATGGGATTTCTCTTTTGAATCGGCAGCCGTTGATTGAAAACACTGACCGTAGGTGTGACGTAGTTTTCTAGAGTGCGTTTTTCGCGCGTGTCACGACGAATCGCGCTAGCTCTTCTTCCCGCTTCGCAATTTTTACAATTTTCTCTCTATTCATTTTTTTTTTTTTTATATGTATGTATATGTACACAGCATATATACATACGACGATAAGATGCCAACGAAGGGTGCCTACGCGTATATCCAAGTAAGCGACGCGACCTAATCATTTTATTTTACACTTACGATTAATACTAAGCAATTTTTCGCTAACGCTGACGTAGTATATCCAATCTGCTTGTGGTGAGAGGGTAGAGCCAATTTTTTATAACAAGAACGATCGAATTGCGAGCCGCGAACGCGAATGCTCGCGCGCGTTCACGATTCGCCGCTCGCGATATGTTTCTTTTTTTTTTTTTTTTTTTAATTAGAAGTACGATCCTAGAGCGTATAACGAGTATACGAGATGGTGCATGAAGAATTTTCACCTACCTCGTCTGACAATCAAAAGATTTCACTTTGAAGTATCTCAAAAGGAGAATGAACACAGGGGAGGGGGTTGGAGATTTTCTCGCGCCATCTTGTACCGAAGCAGCATTTCAAGTATTTAGTTTTAGAATGACACTCGAGCACTTTTCATCGACTTCGTGGAACATCAAAGATACAATTGCCATTAATAGCAATAAATGTTTCAATCCAAGTCAATGGAAACTGTATCGTACTGTTCGTCGAATAGGGTCTCTTATAAATGTAATTCTCCACTGACCTTTGGACGGCGGACCATGAAGAGAGCTCGAATCTGAATTTTCTATTTGACGCTGTTTCTTTAGAAATTATTCCATTGACATACGAAAGCCTTTCGTTTGAAAATGATACGTTTAATTTTAAGTTGATACTTTTGTATACGTTTTCGCGAGTACGGGGTCTGGATTGACCCAGGCTCCGCTGTTCAAGGGTTAACGCGTATACGATGGAAGTAAAAAATCAAGCATGCATGTATCGTGAATTAAGATTAAGCGAACGCGGCCTCGCGAGCAGGATGATGAAGAGGACACGCGAGGCCGCGATGAAAGGATAATATTAGGCTCGAGGACGATCGCTTTCACGATGACACGCCGAGATAGCACTTGTGTGTGTTACTTTTGACACTGACCTCGGCGCCTCTCGCGTCTAAGAAGTTTGCTTTTCCTACCCTTACTCTTATTTTCCTTAGCACGCTTCCATCCTTTCCGTCGTCCTTCTTAATGAGCCTTATATTCGTACCCCTGGCCTTCTTTATCGTGAGTGCTGACAAGTGTGCAGAGAACGTCGGTGCTTGTCCTCGAGCCTGAGGTGCGCGCCTACTTCGTCGTAAAGCTTGAAAAAAAAGCTCGAGTCTGCTCTGTACCCTGACAAGCGTGTGCATTCTTCTTTGAAACCTCTCGCGTTTCTCGATCCTTTTGTCTTCACGATCTTCTCTGACCCTTTTCTCTTTTTTTTCCCCCCTTTTTTTCTTTTACATTTCCCTTGCGACTTTACGAGAAAACTGAACGATTTGGATCAGCGAGTCACGTACAGAGCTTACCCGGCTGTTTTAACAGAACACAAGCGCACCAATCATGATGGCTTATTTATTTCGTACGTTTAAATGTGTAACGCTGTTCAAGAATACTCGTCCTTGTCACGTTTATCATTTCATATTTTCTTTTTTTTTTCCTATTTTTTTTTTTTGTTTCTACACTTTCGCCTTTACGCGTCCACGTACGACACACGTCGCCTGTCGTTTCTTTTCTCCGGTTGCACGATTATGCGAATCGTGCGATTCAAGGGGAGGAAGTTTCGATGTGTCCGACTAATTTCTTCGTTAATTGTAACGCTCTTTAATTTTTTTTTTTTTTCTTTCACCAGTATCTAGACGTCGCCCTTTGGTCGAACGTCGTATATTTCAGTACCGTAATACACACACGTTGTACATAGCATATATGGTACAGAGAAAATAAACTCATTTTATAACGAAATGGTTCGCTCAGTTTTTTGTCATCACCCGTGAAACCTGTAAACTGGGAAGGGGTGGGTCTTAATTACGTCAGGAGTGTCCTGTAAACTTTTTGGTGAGATTTTAATGGGGGCATAAAAATTAGAATTGATGGTATTCATATTTGTTCTGTTTAATTTTTTGCAATTATTTTCTTTTATTTTTCTGTATAGAATCTCAATTCTTTTTCATAGCACTGTTAAGTATATAACAGTTGGTATAAATAATTCTGTAGCAAGGTACAATTTTACAATTATTTCTTTTTTACTATTAATTTACCAAATTAATTAAAACAAGTTTTATATAAGTCGCTCGTATATATAAAATTTCATTGGTATATGTAGACTTTTGTAAGGGATTGTACTTCTACATACGTCTCCAATGACCAGGTTAATCTGAAGAGCTGCTAGTAGCTTAAGTAGGTTTTCTAGTAAGAAGCTGGTGTGGGACAGCTACAAACCATCCGAAGTCACGAGAAACGTTAACATCGAGGATAAGCGGCCATCGAAGCGATGCCGATGAAACGAATCGTGCATCCCTAACGACAGTAGTTTGATTCACGTACGTATCAATCAACGCATTATTATGCTAAATGCAAGCGTGTCTCGCCTGTAAATGCGTCGAATCGTCGGGTAAGGTAGGATACAAGGCACATCAATTCGGACGTATGTCTCCAGGTGAGACATTATTCGGATTCGCTGGAACTTCGTGAACGTTTTGCTGAATGTTTGCCTCTTCAACGTATTGTTGTCGATGTAAACGTTCTTTACCGTTATTTTTCCTATGGAACGTGGGAATATAAGTTATGCAAATGTTGTGGGAAAATCGTTGTAAGAATATACGGAAATTTCATAAGTACGCTTTATTAAAATAATAACGTTACTTGTATGTAGAGTATTTCTTGAAGTGGTGCTTCTTGTAAAATCATTTAAAACAGTAGTGGACAATTTTTTGTCATGAACCAAAATTTAACAAAATTAGTAGATTTTAAGAAATTTTCTTCAACCCTTTAAAATATGACTAATGCTCTTCATTTAGACATTTTCCATATGTTCCATATTTTCTGTAAATTTTTCAATTTTTCGTTTTTAATTAAAATTGCAATCGTTTTTATTATATCCATGCATAGAGTGATTCAGAGCAACACGATTTGGTGAGCCATAGAATCTCATGATAGCCTCTGTTAGATCATTTCATAACGGTCAAAGGATAACAGATTTCAGGAACAAAAATATGACGAAGTTGGGAACTAGCAGAAGAACAGCTGAGATGAATGACGGAATACCAGGCACATCGTGCAGCACGAGCTCAAACTGGACCACGTAACTATCCAAGATCACTGATTCCCGGCATCCGTTAGCTGAACCTTGTTCAATCAGCGTGGGAATCATGTTCACTGACCCTGAGAAACGAAATTTATGAGCCAGATACCGTAACAAAGTTGCCTGTTGTCGATGTAGAAAATAAAATGCTAATAATGGTTCTGCCTAATCGTTTGTTATTCTGTTAAACTGTTCATTGTATTATAAAAAATTAAATTGCAAGAGGATATTGATTAACCTGATATATTGAAAGATCATTGAAATATTACAGTGGTAATATTCAAGTGATAATTTATTCAAAAGTTTATTTTAGCAAGAGAATATCAGCTGGATGAAAGGATGAATAATAAATAAATTTGCTGTATTAATTAGCGTTGATTCACTATTGTGATTAAGACCCAAATAATACACTGGGTTAAGATTTATTGTTAGAATTTTTTATATCAATTATTAGATGGCAAACAAATAAATTTTGATTCACATGTCATCTCATTCATATGAATTTTATTAATTATTATAGTAATTACAACATACATACATTTAAAAGTCCTTTCCTCAGCAAAAATACGAACATCGAGTCGGCTGACTAATGATAGTCTCAACCCCTTCGAACACTTAAGTCAAGATAAAAATTCTGGTAAAGGCATTTTGAATACGTTCTCAAGGATCGTCCCCGGTTTCTATCAGGTTCCCATAAACCAACCGTTTTGCGTGGCCCACCATAAAAAGAAATCAAGTGGCGTTAAATTCAGCTCGTAAATCTTTAGACGCTTAAAGTCTTTAATAAAGCATTTTCAGACATAGCTTTATGGGAAATTTCTTCACCTACTCGACCCCACACGTCCGATGCCAGTTGCCCCTTTCACATACATACTCGACCCTACTGTATCAATTTGCCCTTCAACCTTACTGATATTCCATATAGACAATTACCAGTAAATTGTGATTAACCCTTCAAAAACGTACGTGATTAATAAACTACAATATACCCTGTTCATTTAAAATGAGACTCAATTATTTATCTATTATTTCACAAAGGGGAGGAGAGATGTAATAGAAAGCCACACCTTGAATTGAAAATAAAATAGAAGATAATTGATAAGGATCAAATATGCAGCGGTCATATTGGGAAGTAATTACTGTGTTTTGATTTAAGTTTAATTTTCATGTATATTATGTTTGTAATTTAATAAAGATCAAACAATTGTTTTATATATAAATAATTCAGAAATGAAATTGGGTACATTAAATAATAACTCAGTTGCTTTTTTCAAATGATTTATTTACCAAAGTGCATGAAGTGAATACAAGTTTGTCAAACTATTACAATAATAATTGTTCAATCTTGTGCTGCTTTTGACTGATTTAAAATAAAAATAGAATCAAGTTTGAGGTGCGGTAAAAGAGTCACTGGTAAAACAGGCACGATTATCATACTGGCTGTGCTCTCTGCATTCAGATCTAATCTCATCTGGGGTGTCTGGGACACCCTAAATCATGACCCCTAGAAAACAAAGGCATGTCCAGTCTTTTACATCTGTAGTCACTGGTGGGCGCAACTTACCGTGCATTAAACAAGAGAGCAAGTCGGCTGGGAACGATTCGGCGTGTCCATTCGACGGGTCGGCTATGTTAATGAACTGGATCGAAATAATGGTGCTCGTAGTTTACGGCTGCGCTAACGTGGCAGGAAGTATCCAGTCGGTGGCTAACTCGGTTGACAGGACATGCTTCCGTGTTATTGACCCACGACGATCGTTCCTTCTCTATTTGTTTCTCCTGGAATTGCGTAAGATATGGACGACCCATACTTCGATCGTATAAAAGTCTTGATAGGTTTCCGCTATATTCCGGACATTTCGTTTCCGGAACGACGACGTTCCGTGTTCGAGGAACGACTTCAATCCATTTTTCGTCCGACCAGTGAAATGACTTGAGGGAATTAATGTCGTTCGGGTAGATGGGGTGAATGATCTATTATAAATGCCCGGTGATAATGTTTCGTAAGATTCAGCTGTTTTTGATAAGAAATATAAAAAACAAAAAAGGATAGGTGGGAGGTTCTTAGAAAATGACGATATAAGGGAAGTTGGAATTCCTAAAATCTTAATTTTGACGATATTAATATTAAAAGTAATTTTGAAACAAAATAATATCATTTTTAATGAATAAATATTAGAAAATTTGGAACGCCTATGGGAAGAAGCGGGAGTCCGGGAAAGTGGAGGCGTATGGTGAGGAAGCCTACGGGGAAATTCAAAACCAAAATTTCATTTCACGATGACCGAAAATGATAACTTTTTGTTACTCACATCGTAAGATGGTTCGTGCGAAATAAAAACCGAATTAAGAGGACGTTAGCATTCGCTTATCCGTTTCTTTATTCACCTCTCATCCGGAAGATCCATCACACGGGGATCAAATAACGACGCTGGAAACATAAATTCCCGGGGAAATTGGAAAGCGGTTTCTATTAGGACAAAATAATATCCCGGGGGAGCGGTGGTAACCAGGACGGATCATCAGTCACAGCGCATCACCTCCTATAAGGAAGGCAACTATAAGATATCAACTGTGAGTCATTTGTCAAAAGTCGAAACATTCCTATCGAAGTGGCTCACTCGAATGATCTGTCCGTGGCGCCGGAGACCCATGAAATTCCGGGACAATCTGTCCAGCTTGGAATTATCCAACATTAACCCGAAAGGTTATTGATCCCACGATTTCAGTGACCGTGCTCGTTAACTCCTTGACGATCCATTCTGGAATTATTTTCGTGCAAGCACGATTGAATCCTGTACCAGAGCACGATAACGTCTTACCGGTAAAAAGGAAGATAATGACGTGTGATTTTTCCAACCGTCTGATTCGTGGTGTAATCTACTTCTGGATTAGAAGTAGACTGGCATAGAAGAGGATACGTGTGGAAGCTACAAATAACTGGATCAACGTTCATCTGTAAACAAGAAATTATTTCTTGTTCCCTACGGATATTGTTACTTTTCGACTTCCTTCGGTGCTGGTAATGTGAAATTAATAGAGCTGGTTAGAAGGAAGATATGGATCATCTTGAAATGTTTTTGTGGCATTTGTTTCATCTGTTACTGGATATTCTTATTGTGGCATAGTCAGATTTTATTGATGGTGTTTCTAGCCTTAATTTCATTATTGCAATTAAGTTAAGTTATTTGATAGGTAATTTTTAATATTTGCAATAAATAGTCTATTTACAGAAAATTTCAATTTTAGAAATATTGTAAATTAATATTTTAGAATAAATAGATTCTAATATATCACTTTGTTAGTAGTAAATTACAGACATTACTCTAACTCAATTTCTGTCGAAATCAATTAGATAACTCTATCTTTCCTCTGTGTCCATAAACTATCAGGAAACTATCATATAATTTGATTTGAGTGTAAACTACATGCCCCCTGTGGCTCGGGGGGTTCAGAATACGGCCACGGTATCCCCTGCCTGTCGTAAGAGGCGACTAAAAGGGGTCACACAAACACATACACACACGTACACACGCACGCACGCACACACACACCGATTCAGGCGAAAAAATTATTTAGTTAATTTTCTAATGAATCAAAATTGTCTAGTGTATAATATAATGTAAGCTATCAAATAAAATGTTATTAATAATCTT